CTTCGGCCGTACAGCATTGTCTAAAATCGTTTTCTCATTATGCTACTAAATCTTCCTGAGAGATTTAACTTTTCCCTGAGCAGTTATCTCTGTTATTTCTTCTCGAATAGCGTTTCTTATTCCTGAGCTTGATTTAGTCCAGCTGCTGATACAACTATGCTCTAGTGTGCGCGTGCCTGGTGTTTGCTCTTCTAACCTCAAAGAATCACCTAAATTTGACGCTTCTCACTTGTGACTTGAACTCATGGTCCGCAGTTCGACAATATCATGACGAAGTTGTTGATCAATCGTCAAGACTGAATAAGGTTAGTGAGCCTAATGTGGAATGGGATCGACTCAAGTATGCCATGAAAATTACCTGATACGTGCTGTGCACTCAATTTGAGTTATCAAAACGGTGAATGAATCTCTGAGTCATCCATCATTTTGATCAAAGCACGCAAAAAGGTTCCGTTTCAGCGTGTCCTTAACGCCCTGAAACGATGACTGACATGGGGTCTACGAACAGACCGGGAACACTGGTGAGTGACATTGACCCGTATGATGAAGAAAGCCGATGCTAATGGGAACAGCCGAATGCTGTTCCTTGCTCATCCAGTACACGGGTGCAAGAAATCTCTCAGTTATTGAGACAGTTGAACCATTTTCAGCCTCGTCTACTAACCTTTTTTTAGCAGAGCATTTTGAAGAGCACTTCAGCAGGTCTGCTGCGACACTGCCGTAGGCTGAGTCACCTTAGCCGACATGGGAAGTTGATGTCACGCCCCCCCCCACTTCATGCCTATTCAGGTGTGTCTCGCGTTTTCGAAAATCTACTAGTTATTTATTTATTTACTTGGGGTTACCGTGTTAAAACTAAACAAGAATCCTGGACCCAACAACCTTCCTGCACCTTTGTTGTAAAATGGAGGTAACTTTGTTAACTGGGCTGGCCGATGAATCACAAGAAGTGCTGCATTCAAACCTTGTTCAAAAGAGCGGAAACGCACTGCAGCACAGCCGAATCGCGGAAACAGGAAGAAAATCACCTATATCGAGTGTTTAGAAACAACGGTTATCCGAGGAATTTCATCAGAAGAAGCTTCAAGAAACCAATGCCTCAGCAGCAGCAGTCATGTGTTTAAGCAAACAAACGGATAGTGCTTCCCTACATCAATAACCTCTCCTAACTAACAGGAAGATTGCTGCAATCACATGGAATCTCTGTGGCTCACAAGCCAACTGCCACCCTAGGGAAATTGATCTCACGATCCAAAGGAAAAGTCAATCAAGCCGACCAATGCAATGTCATCTACCAGATAAAGTGCAGCGACTGCGATCAAAGCTACGTCGGACACACTGGAAGAAAACTTTGTACACAAATTGCCGAACACAAGGCGGTCGTCAGAAGGCATGATCCACACTCATTGGTTTCTGCGCATGATGATCAAGAAGGCCACCATTTCGATCTCTACAATGTAAAGATCCTAGCACATGACAGTACAAAACACGCGAGGGAGTTTTTGGAAGCCTGGTACTGTATAACGCATTCAATCAATCGGCATATCAAACTGGACGCAGTATACGCCACACTACTGATGAACGACCGCCAACTCGATCGATTGAATCCGGTGGAACGTGTGACTAGACAACCAGAACTGACGGCAGACTCGCTCGCAAGAGCAAGCAGACAAAGGCCACGAAACACAAGGAGGCAAGGTCAAAGGTCATCTGCCCATCAACCAAGCTGAACGCGGATCGAAGTCCCAACCAATAGGATTGCTCGGCTCCACGGCCAACCACGGCTGTATAAAAACGCACGCACACCATGCTCATCGCACTCTCACCGCGACTCATCTATGCTAGTGCACGCCACTCAACTACGCGCTATTGATATCACCTCGATTGGTGAGGAAACGAAAATTGCTAAGCTCAGCGAACAGTTCAACCGCCACTATTTAGGACACTAACGATGTACCTTCAAACTATCTACTGTTTCACCCGTCTTCCAAAAGGGTCAGCATATTTTGTGGAATACCATCCACGCATTAGCCTTAATTACATTATTTTCATTCTTCTGCAGCTTACTGGTCCCTGTGAGGACAGAACCACTGAAAGCTGGCTTTCACCCTGGTCGTTGCATCGCTCATATATTTGCTCTTTGTCAAGTGTTCGTGCACTTACACACCTACCGATTGTGGTGGCTTTCCTTCCTCTGAAAGCCGCCGCCGATTCTGTTGATCGATCCATTTTGTGACACCACCTATCCGTAAAGGGGTGCCTGGGAAGCTCTTTTTCATTCTTATTTATCTTTATTGTAACTCCCAAGGCTGAGTAAGGGTCTACGGGAAATTGTCTCCTGAGTTTTCCACAACAAGTGTGTTTCCTTAGAGTTTTCCTATCTTTCCTCTACTTCTGCCTCGAGGTTTTCATTAACGACTCCGTCTTTTCTGATTCTCCCGGAGTGGGAGTTCTGCCAGATGACGAACTGATAAGCCTTGCATATGCGAATGACAGTTCTGCGTGACTTTTACGCAGTTGCTGCACGCGCACTACTGGCTAGACTGACGCGTAACGCCACACGCTTCGACATGTGCTTTCCACGTTCAAAGTGCAAAGTACTGCTGCAGGACGACACACTGGTTCTAGTTATCACCTAACAGTTACTGAAAATGGTGGATCGGTTCACTTAACTTTGGTTGCTGTGTCACTTCTGGTAATCAAATCACTGAGGAAGTTACTTCGCGTATCAGCAAGGTCCGTATGACTTTCCAAAGTCTCAGCCATCTTTGGAGACGGCGAGATATCAATCTGTTAGTGAAAGGTAGGATGTATAACACTGCGGTAAGGCCGGTGTTGCTGTGTGGATCAGAGACCTGACCAGTTCGCGGCAAAGACATTATACTCTTGGCCTTATTTGATCACTGATGCTTGCGGAGTATTGCATATATCTGGTGGGAACACCGCGTGAGCAATGTCAAGGTTCACCAGAAGGTTTCTGGCAAGAAATCTGCACCAACTTGGGCGGACTTACGAGGCGGTCAGTCCATGACGTGGCATGAAGAAGTTGACTGAGAGCCTTGGTGAGGTTGCTACGTGCCGTCTTCACAGATGGTGGCCGAGGGATGGTGTACACCAGCGATTGGATACTCTATCAGACATGACACAGTCACGCAGTGACATTCCTGCATTCGGTTTTTTGCACTTAACTACTGACTTTAGTCCCATCTCGGCTAGTTTAAAGCACTTCTTGATCCGGTTCTCTTTGTATTTTCTTTGAGTTCAGCTTCATTTTCTTACCGTTGTTATTTATTATAGTTCTGGCGGCGTGAGTTGTAACAACTGGACCCACCGCAGTTCGGTGTCTGGATCACAGTTATTCAACCGAACTTGGCTGCTCTGCTTTACTACTGTTGCCGGATATTTTGGTGCTGATGGCTGCACGCTTCGACACAGACTCGGCACTTTCATGTTGAAAACTACTATAACACACACATCCCCATTCACTATTTGCTCCAGCCTTTTCGGTCAGTTTACATTATCACTTCCGATGACCACACCACCCTGCAGCTTACAGCATGTGTCTGTGGGGCTCACACCTCCTCAATGCATCGGTCACTCACGTGTGCAGTTGGATTCAGGCTTATTGGTCAGGAACATGTTGCACAACACTGGATTGTGGCAAGTAATGATCTGTGGATCAGCGGCATGGTAACTTCACTGGGAACCTCGATGTGCTGATCATACTTGACTAATGATGTCCTCAGAGTATTACATAAGAAGAGGGGCATCATCAATACGCCGGTATGGCGTACCGGCGCTTTGTTGCCACGCAACCACCACCACCAGTTGCACGTAGACTAAGGATACTGCAAGGGCCACACGGTTTCATACGCAAGCTCGAACCCGCGATCTCCAGGTTACTAAACCAACGCCTTATCTTTTCGGCCATGGGCCGGCAGAGTATTACGTATATCTGGTATGAGCATCAAGTGGGTATTACTAATTGTAAACATATAGTGTTTGATAGCAAACTCTGCTTCTACTTTGGTTTGTCTCCGGAAGTAGAGAGAACTTCCCACGGCTAAGCCATGGTACTCGTCCCCTGTGACATCTATTCTTCTTGGCATATACCGCTTACCAATACTGTTTGGGATGAAATCCCGAATTACCCAGTCATTGACGTTGCGGTAGGATGTGAAACAAGTTACTGGAGTTGTGAATTGCTTAGATTGACGCTTGTCATCTTTCTGGATCTCCGCATCAATGTGGTCCAAGCCAGCGATCCAAGGTGGTTTCGGACTTGACGCACCCACGCAGAACCCAACTGTTACTCTCAATAGTTAACCTTTCGTTCTAACGGTCATACTCTCGTTTTTCCTCTTCCCCTTGTATCTTTGCATACCTGTTTGTCTTATCCCCCTTTTCCCCACTTTATTACTGCTACTGTCAGCGGTGTGGGTGATAGCACCTTGTCTCTCGCACTTTGGTGTATGGATTCTAGGTTCTCAACTGTAATGAGCTGACCCCCCTTCTATCCTTACTTTTTGGGTTCCTTTTTTCTACTTCTCTGCTAGTGTTCCCGCTTACACACCGGATTGCTTCTAGTTTGACTGTAGATATAACGCAGCCCCCATGCTGCTAACTTGGCCTGGAGCTAGACATGTTGGTTCGTTTCCTCCGGTGCATCGTGATGAGTTACTTCTGCTTAGTTAATTAGACTGAGATGTTTGGTCGTATGCATCTTGATGTGTTGCTTATTATGAAGAGGTTAATCTTAACTCTGTCCCTGCTGACAGCCTCGTCGCGCCCGAAAATGGGCAACTTTTTTAAATCATGCTATGTAACCTTTGCTCTACTTATTCTCCACTACTGCCCGGTTTCTGTCATTTTTTCACTATTTTGACTCGTCATTTTTCATCAGTTGAGCCATTGACGACCCATCCTGACACTATACTGAATCGAACTAGCCTTTCAGGATTTATATTTTTCACCTAACGTTTTTTTCTTGGTTTTCAGCGATGGCTCTGGTTGAACAACCGCAATCCGATAAACCAATCCAGCCCAAGATTGGCATCATCTACCCGCCTCCAGAAGTTCGCAATATTGTTGATAAAACTGCCAGTTTCGTCGCTCGAAACGGTCCCGACTTCGAGTCCCGAATTCGTCAAAATGAGCTAAACAATCCCAAGTTCAATTTCCTTAATCCTGCTGACCCGTATCATGCTTACTACCAACATAAAGTTAGGGAATTCGCCGAAGGCAGAACCACAGAGTCCGTGGCTCTCAAACTAACTACACCCAGCGCCGCCCGTTTGGGCCAGGACACTCCTAAGTCTATCCAGGAGACATTTATTCCCAAAGATCCTCCTGCTGAGTTTGAGTTCGTGTATGACCCCTCGTCCATCAATGCGATGGACATCGACATCATCAAACTGACTGCTCAGTTTGTTGCACGCAATGGGCGACAATTTTTGACTCAACTTATGAATCGAGAACAACGCAATTATCAATTCGATTTTCTGCGCACTCAGCACAGTATGTTTGGCTATTTCACCAAGCTAGTGGAACAATACACGAAGATTCTCATACCCCCCAAAGATATTGTTTCCAAATTGGAGGATGAGCTGGAAAATCCCAAACGTTTATTGGACGATGTGAAGTACCGTGTAGAGTGGCAAAAGTATCAAGAACGGCAGCGGAAACGCGAGGAGGAAGCTGTTGAGCGTGAACGAGTGGCCTATGCTCTGATTGATTGGCACGATTTTGTGGTTGTTGAGACCGTCGATTTTCAGCCAAACGAAGCGGGTAATTTTCCTGTTCCGACCACTCCAGAGGAGGTGAGTGCCCGCATGTTGGCCGAAGAACGTGGTATGTACGTTGCTCCAAAGACGCATAATCTGCCGCCACCTCCGGGCTCACTGGGCTTGGTGCCCACAGATCTAGATGACGAGGAACACGAGGGTGATGAGGGCAGCGATGAGGATCTAGGTGATTCGGAGCCTGAAATGGAAAGGCCTGTAAATGGCGAATTCCAACAAGGTGACTCTCCCAAATCATCACAATCACAAATGCCGCTATCCCCCAAACAAGAAACTGCAGTACGTACAACACAGCATGCGACGGAATTCGGTGAAGCAGACGATATGGAACTGTCCGATGATGAAGACGCTGCGCAGCCATCCGCATTAGAGAGAGTCGGTGCACCTAAACAGCCTGTTAAGAATGTGCCGCCCACGACCGACCAGGTGATTATTCGACGTGATTATGATCCTAAAGCTGCGCGATCGGCCAAAAAAGATGAATCAGTTTTGCTGGTTTCACCGTTTACTGGGGAGAAGATTCCGGCTCATCAGGCACCGAAACACATTCGCGTTGGTCTCTTGGACCCAAAGTGGGTGGAACAACGAGATCGGGAAATTCGTGAGAAGCGGGAACAGGAACAAGTGTACGCTGCCGGTAATCTGATTGATAGCAGCTTAAAACAACTGGCTGAACGCCGTACCGATATTTTTGGTGTCGGAGTAGATGAAATTCAAATAGGTAAGAAACTTGGCGAGCAGGAGGAAGTAAAATCGGATAAACTGATTTGGGATGGTCATGCGGCCACTGCGGACCTGGTGGCGAAGCGCACAGTAGAGGCAATAACTCCGAAAGACAAACAAGAATTACTGGAATTCCAACGAAATATGGAAGCTGCACGTGACAAAATTGGGCCTCAAGCAGGTGTCACACCATCCTCCACCTACCCTCCAGGAGTTATAAAACCCGGAATGATTCTTAACCCTCCTCAACCCACGCTCAGTATGATGAACACACCCCCTCCACCACCAGGCATTATGATGATGTCCAGCGCACCCCCACCACTTCCGCCATCTATGTTTCCACCTGGTATGCCACCACCGCCTCCTGGTTTCTCAATCCCCAAATTTATGCCCCCTCCTCCTCCACCACCACCACCAGGAGTGCCGCCTCCGCCCCCACCCTCCAGTAATGAAGATGAACCAGAAGCAAAAAGACCGAGAGAATAATTGATCGTGAAAATGGCATTTCGACGCGTTCACTTTTTGTCACTTGTATTCAGTGATGTATCACTTTCTCCGCTAAAAGTTACTTATCTTCCGTCCTGTTTTTGTTACGTGTCTTTTCAGTGCATGCCCGTCTAGTTCCTATTCTACCTACTGCGGTACTCCGTTTGTTTCCACCCGCAACAAGCTATCACTGACTTCGCATGGCGTTAGCTGATGGGTGCATTAGAGAGAGTCCAACCCTGTCCCACGGCCACAATATGTCTGACAATAGGGAATGCGCCTCCCTAAGCTGGTAACTTGGCCAGCTTGACCACCAATCTCATTCATATCCCAGCGGTTCATCTCGCTACGCCGCAATAGAAAGATCGTGTGCTCTGATTTCAAACCTTTGGAGGAATCGCTGGTCACTGCAGAATTGAACTAGAGCGAAACAGTCATCCTGTACCGTTGCAAGTGTGCGATGCATTTCTGCTTGCACCTTTTTCTTGTGATCATCTCTGATTTTTCAGACCACTCGCCATATCCTCAATAGCTGAATAACTGCTTCCCCCACATCCTGTGTCTAATACATCAGTTGCGCTTCACTTGATGTCCGTTCCCAAACTATGTCAGTGGTCGCCGGACTTAGTTATTCCTCAGTCACAAGTATTGCTGCATTTCGTCAGTAAACTCTTACTCTTGTCGTGGAACCTGTAGCCACTTTGACACAAACCAGAAAACTCGAGATGGCAGTATAAGCTTATAACTTTTCTTATACCATACCTTACCATCCTTCCCAGACTATTTTTATTCTCCTATTCACTTCAAGCATACTCGGTTGACTACATTTACAAGAGTCTGATGAATATGCAGGGAGCCATCAAAAACCAGGAGACTCAAAGAGTAGTACAGTTATCGTAAGAAAAATGGCAATGGGATACGACAAAGGACAATCCATGGTTTCCACAAGGGATTACCGCGGCGGAGGTAGGGAGTTGACTTAGAGCACACTACCCAGGTCCTTTATCGGAACGAAGTCAGGGAGCCTCGTCTTTTGGGGATTGGTGCCCAATTTTTCCCTTATACGCCTTTCGTTTAGTGAGGCGCCAAATTGGGCCTAGTACAATTCATTGTGTTTTAGCATCCACCCACTGGACTACAGGGCTCCATCAGCGTGAAGAGGGCAGTGACTTTGATTAATAGTGAGCCACATTCGATCGTCACTGTATTGTTAAACGGACCTTTGTGCCTTTTCCTAAAACGGAAGCTTGCCAGAAGAAAACTCACCATTTCTTGGAACACTATCGTCGAAGTCAAATACTACTTTGCGATCAGCACTTTTTGATCTTAAACCATAGTGGTTGAAAAACCAACTAATCTGTGACGTCGTAATCTAACCGTTTTAGCCTGTTTACCTACTAGCTATCTCAATCAGGCCGCATTGGGAAATGCCAGTATGTCTAATGAACCCCTGCAGTGAAATTATCTGTTGTACTGTTGGATTGAACCCTTCCTTACTGCTGTTTCGAAGTGGAGCAATTTCGCACTGGCTCAATGCATTGAATGTGCAACGGTGTGCTAGAAAGTCATTCTCTGGATAGAAATAATACCGACAAATCAGATTGCAAACCGCTGTCCTCGACACTCGTGGTATTTTATTTTCCATAGTGATTCCTCACAGGGACTCTGGGTTAGACTGAAACTGCGCATTCGGAGAGGCAGTAGACAATGATTTCACCTTTTCGAGAATCGTCAGCAAAGCGCATCTCATCTGTCACCTGTAGAGTTCTAACCCGCAACCCTACGCATACGCGTCCGTGGTTAAGACCATTGGTCCCGTTGGAAGATGAACGACAACCGTTGTGACCAAGTAACAAACTATAATATGAGGCGTGTGTATGTGAACAGACTCGGGGACCCTGCTTATGTGTCATTTGAGCAGTTGTGGTCTTTATCGAATAACGTGATCGTGTCCACAGCTTAACCTACTCTCGTCTATCTTTGGCGTTCATTCGTAGTTTTACTGGTCTCTGAGAATCTGCATCTGTCGGCGCCATACAGTACCGCCTAGATGACGTTCCGCGAGGTTCTTCTCCATCTGAAATTCTGATCCCTAAGTGTGAGTAGGGTGACTACAATTCCTTTTGATTGGTAGTTATTTAGCACCATTAATTGGATTCTTCAACTGAATTCACTCGAGTATTATCTCTTACTGAATCTCTTCTCCTGTCAAACCTTTCGCGAATACGCTTTATCTTAAAAAAAGTGGCGTACCAATGCGTATCGAGCGCTGTGTCAAAACAACAAATCTTATTGAAATGTATATAAATTAACTCTAATCTTGACCCTTCTCGCCTCGACTATCGGGGCAGCTCTGCAAGAATAGTTTACTTATTTCCGTACATTACGTTGTTGCAAGCAATCCAGTTCGTTACCCAGTAATTGTGGTGCGACGTATTGAAACATTCGTTTTATGTGAAAAATTGGTCCATTGTCAGAAAACGTGTAGTGCGACTGGGGTTTTGTAGCAACACCCATGGTCTTCGAAGAAGATTGGATGAGCTCCTGTCAAATATTGTCATTTCGCCCGGTGTGACGCGACACTACCGGGCTGCTGTTTTCGTAGATGCTCCGGTGTTTACCTCAAAGTTTAGTTTCTTTCAACCTGGTCTATACTCAGCAAGATTAACTGTGATCTTTCCATGGGACACTTGTAAAACGCCCTTTCAAAATCGACTGATATGTTATCAACTGAAGCACTCCGTTCATTTCCTTTCCGTATTCGCTTTGAGCTAATGACTGTATGTGTAGTGCTGTCAATCTGCCATCACCTTCCACAAATCTGGACATAAACTCGACATACATGGGATAAGTTCAGTTAGTCGGCTTTTCGTTCATTGTGCTGCAACTGCTTTTGTTACCCAGCAACAGTCTTTTCTGTATCATTTGTCCTTCTTTTGTTCCTGTTGACCCCATTTATATGGCTTGTTTTTCCCGCAGTAGCGAGAACGTACGTAGCAGTAATTCCTACAATCCGTGATGGTCGGCTGTCGTCCCCCATGGCTCAGTGTCATAAACTGCTGGCTAGTTGGCGTTAACATCTAGCGGTTATGTGTTCGATCCTCAGTAGGGGACAATGAACAATGAATCTATACGGTTTAAAAAGCGTTGCTTTACAAGTCCCGTTTTATAGTTGGTGGGGATATCGAAATAATATTACTACTCACGATAATAGTAAAACAGTTAGTACTTCAAACATGTGAATAAGGACTCCTCTGTAGTTCTGCAATCCGCGTAGATTTACATCACCCACATTTAACATCAAATAAATCCATGGTAAACTCCAAGTGTAGTATGGAGACGCAGCCCAAAGCGACGGAATGTAAGTGGATAAATGCGCCATCCAACCGTCTTTTAAATGCTATTGGTGTCGGTACAGAGACGACCGATTCTGGAACAGCATTCCATGAGTGACAGACACGAATGGAAACGAAATTTCTGCGGCACTCCAAACGGCTATACTGTTCTCCGAGTTTCAATGAGTGGCCCCTTAGGTTTGTATTGCTGCTGGGTTGCAGTAAAGGACGACACACATGATGTGGGTCTTACATAGTGAATTTTGCCATAATCAGATCGCTTCGTAATCTGCGATAGCGTCCGCTGAATACCTCTAGACGTTTCAGCCTCTCGTATGAAAAGTTGCGCATTCCAATTACTTTAGTAGATGCCCGACGTTGAAGCTGCTCTAGTGCATTTAGATCGTCTTTCGACCCTGGATACCAGGCTCTAATTGCGGATTCGACATGCGGTCGAACATACACACTGAACATTTGTCGAAATATGGAGCTGTTTATTTTCCCAAAAGCCCGACGTTTTGGTTTCCAGTCTTCGAGGCCTTTTCTGATTGCCTGGGACAACCCTAGTCATCTTGAACCAGCACACCTAAGTTACGTTCGACAGTTGATTGTTGCGGTACATTCGCTCCGAGCTCGTATGAGTTGCTGCTCTGATATCCGATGGAAACTACTTAGTATTTACTGACATTGAAATACGGTAACTTTTGGGTTGACCATTGATATAGGTCACTCTGAAGCAGATGCTGCTTGGCATTCACCTGAATCTTGCCCCAAATCTTGATATCGTCGGCAAATATCAGAAAGTCTGGACCGATTGCTTGTGCGAGCTCATTAATAAACACCAAAAACGTACGTGGACCAAGAACTGAGCCTTGCGGCACACCACACTCCACTTGTATGGGGTTCGATAAACAGCTCCGAACTCAGATCAGTACTTGCCGTTGAAGTAGAAATTTGGCCATCCAGCTTGGAAGATGGTCACCGATTCCGTAATGATGGAGCTTGGAAAGTAATATCCGATGGTCTAAACAATCAAAAGCCTACGAAAAATCCAGGTAAGTCACATCAACCTTTTCTCCAACTACTGCGTGCGATTAGTTAACTCGTTGTGCATGACCGCTTTCGACGGAAGCCGTGCTGCTCAGGCGTGATGATGTTGCAGTTTTCCAGATAACGCATCAGCACATCGGCAACAATGGGTTCCGTGACCTTAAAGAGTATAGGAAGAAGGGATAGTGGGCGGTAGTTGGAGGGTTCCGTTCTGCTCCTACTTTTGTGAATCGGGGTTATTATTCCAAGCTTCCACATAGCGGGAACTTGGTTCTGGTCTAAGCAATGCTGGAAAACAGCTAAAGGTCCTACCAGTTGGCTTGCTGCTGCTTCCAGCGTCTCTGGACGAATGGTATTGACACCCGGCTAGCTGTTTCTGTGTAGAGACGTCAGCTTTTGCATTACAGACTCCGCGGTAAAGGTGACGGGTTAGTCCTGGTAAACAGACGACAAAGGCTGGAGAATCGCTTGGTGACAAACCCTCTGAAATGTGGGGCATATTGCATCCGCAGCGCGGTTGCTACTTCTACAGCCGTTCTTGTTGGGCCGTCGGCATCTTGAGTGGAGGAAATCCTCGCCATACCTTTCCTAGGCTATTGCCGTGTTTGTACAGCA